AGGTTTCAGCCTTCAGCGTCAGCTGCAGCCAGCACTTGTCAACAGAAAGGGTCCGATTCTTTTGCATGACAACGCCCGCCCACACGTTTCACAAATCACTATCCATAAATTGAACGGGTTGAAGTTCTACCTCACCCGCCATATTCTCCAGACCTTTCACCAACCGACTATCACCTTTTCAAAACATTTTCAGACAAAAAAAGCCTTCGTGGATTCTCGACCACCCAGTTTTTTCTTTGATGGGATTTATCGACTGGTCACATTGGCAAAAGTGTGCTGATTCGAACGGTGCTTATTTCGATTAAATCCGATGAGTATTAAGAAAGTTATGATCGTTTAAAGTGAAACACTCAAAACGCTGAGAACTTTCCGGACAACCTAATACGTACGCAACAAATCTCGCGGGTTCAAATATAGCATCCGCGATTACATGATATAGAGAAGCGCTTTCTTGCGCGTGGTGGTGGGATTCACAATTTCAGGTAATGCACCCCCTCGCGGCCTAGGAGTGTTTGGAGAACACTATGGCTTCTCCAGAATGAACAGTAGCACTGTAAACGCTCTCCTCTTTTATGATTTCGCTTTGCCATCACTATGTAGCGGTGGGTTTCAATCATTTGTGTGCTTTTTTTGTCGTGCTGTCGCCCGCTTTTCTTATCCACTAAATGTTCACCTGGCTGCTTATGTCCGACGGAGTCTTCTTGGGCTGTCTTCGACATTTGTTTCTGTAGACTGTTCTTGTTATGAGTTGGTAACTCTACGACATTCATATTCGGGTTCACCCATGAATGACAATCACGGCAGTGCATTTAAAAGCGCTTATACTATTCATGGTTTCTCACATTTTCCGTATTATCCACACTGTTCGGACTGTCCCACTTTCGTAATTCCACAAAGGGTTGCGGGTGGGCAGCGGCCGCCGTATTGAAAGCGTAGAACCCGTGAGAGGCACGTTGCCCACCACCAATGACATGGTAGCACGTTGTATTCGGTGCATGAGGGACATAGCAAGTCCTTATGCCACCTGATACGACGAGCTACCATGTCATTTCAAGTTATCGAGGCTCCCCATAATAAATGAGGGTAATCCTCTTTGCAAGGTATGCAACTTCACTCAGGCAATAGCTCGTTTGACTACGACGACCACAAATTCCAGTTCTATGCTGTTTTTTTTCTCAATTTCAATCGAGTGTTGGACGGCATTGTTCACTAGAGCATGAAAAAACGAATGTGAGCTAGGGGATACGCAAAGGTGGCGGCCGTGCCGATTTTCCTAACGGGCAGCAATCCGAAAAAGTCTTCTGGCCTCTACAGCAATTTTTATTTGTCCTGTCTTTCCCTTCTAGAAGAGGTATTTAAGCACCTATACTTTCGATCCCACTACCAGTGAGTTGCAATCGCGGACGGTGACACCTTTGGAGTCTGGAGACTATAGATGTGAATGGGCGCGCTCAAATAGTTGATTTGTGCACAGCTACGCGGTTATCTGGTAAAAGGCTGAAGACATGCATGCACCAAAAGCGGAAACTGCTCAGGGAATTCAGTGATAAGGAAACCAAAACAGGGCTTGTGTGTCGCCTCCTTGTCAAATACGGCGCTGTCTTTTACCTCTTATTACTCACCGCGCTTGAGCCTAGGATATTCTACCCAATTTCACAAATTCGGAACGCCTTGAGCTTTGTTATCAAGGCTACGCATTATACTGCTCTGGCCATGTGGTCGCCTACTCGATGGAATTCACCGCAGTAGTAGTTGGGCGCTCAGAAAAAAGATCCATAGAGATCCTCTCATGGAAAAGTGAAAATGGTCAGAGCACGTAGTGGATTCGCCCAATAAGGCAATAAAAGTCGCATGCACGTTTATGTTTTCAATGCTAGCTTGTCGATCTTTGACAACTGCCTATTTTTGTGGCCTCACCATCTGTAATAAAAAATATCCATGTTTTTCGTCGTTTGTTTCTTATCCTTCTTATTCATAGTGACCACATTGTAAGTATATTCCTTAGTGTTTGGTGCCACTTTTGTGATTTTTGTTAATGTGCAGGAATAGGATGTGCCGAGATCTGAAGTAAATTTTGGATTATTTCTTTGTTGGCCCAACAGTGATAGCATAGCTCCTTGAATTTTGAATGCATTGTGTCAAATGTATGTCCATGTCGCCTGTCGTACTAACCTACAAAGTCAATCGGTGGAATATGCTTATCTTGAGTGAACTTCAAGAAACATTATTAATATTCCTAAATAATTTTCTGAGTCATGCGCCATTACAGCGCACTTCACACCAATCCTGTGCTTGTGCTACTCAGGGCTTTGCTTTCTGAGTGGGTTATGTACTTACTAGGTTTTCCATACGGACGAGATAATGAGCATGTTCAAGAGGAACATAGGTGGGTATAGTGAGGGAGTACACAAAAACGAAGTTGTTAAGGCGGAGAGCGACTGCTAGTGTGAACACTGCTTAGACAGAGACGTTACATTCCTATTTTAGACTACTAAGATGCGAGAAAAGCACTTCCTCTACAATGACGGACCGCGCCACCTTGTAGAAGGTCGCACTTAAACGTGTGCTACTCTCCTGTTCAGTGATTGCTGCATCGAACAGAGGTCACGGGCGGTGAAATGGGATTGAAAATGGGATCTCCTGAGAGAGAGACAGTGTTTGAAGAGTCAGGCTCTGCCGAGTTGCTTTGAGCCTGCTCTTTGCTTGTCAGGAATTAATCAGGATTGGATTTGCAGTCTTACCCAGCATTCTGCTGCTACCTGTTCCATGTTCACTCAACAAGAGTTCCCCTTTGCCTCTGTTGGTCTCTTTATATTACCAAGCTCTTATTATTCAGCTCTCATTATTATCAGGAAAAGTTTCTCTTTTGACTTTAGGCTTCCCTTCAGCACAGCACTCGAATGTTGTAGCTTTTGAGATCTTTTTGTGATTTTTCTGTTGTTTCTTGATTAATCCTCTGGAGTTTCGCCGGTCTCTCATATCTCGTCTGACGAGCCCCCTTTTTGTAGGAAACACCTTCAATACGTCTCTAGGTTTGAAAGTGTAAGGCATAATTTCGAGCACTTTCAAGTTTTTTCTAGATTATCCTTTGTTTTCGGGAACTTCTGCGTTGTACAACATTCCAGACATAGTTATTGAGATGTTGATATGTATTCTATCTGTTGTATTGCATGAGTATGTGTTGTAAGTATCACACAAGCTGAACGCTCATATTTTCTGTCGAAACCGAAGAAACTGAAATGCGTTCGACCATACAATAACCATTACAGTAGAGGAAGTGAAGAAAAAAAATTTGGAACAAGACAAAGTTGTGCTTTTTCTATAGTTTTGGACCTTTGCCCATAGACACAACAATAAACATTTTTCCAATTGTAGAAGAATTTTGTTCTCAAATTGAGCACGTTTCAAAAAACGATTCCCTGAGACAGAGTTGATTGATGGAAGTCGTTGTCGCAGAGGAATATCGTAATAGTGCACACCGTCACCACGGTGACAATGGATTGAGTTCTACTATGAGGCCCACAAAAAAAACGCGAGAATTAGTGCGGTGCGAAATCTACTGCATCAAGAAGCTCAAAAAACAGAGCTTTCACTGCTGATGAGTCATATTTTGGAATGCCGCACGCATTCCACCCCCCACTTGGATCGTAATGACTCTCAAATTTGATATGGTCTGCCCAATAACATGCTAGAAGCAGCCAATGCACATTTCAGCATTTCTCCTCATCGACACTCCTCACCTATAGGTAGCTATTTCGCTTCGGAAGGATGAGAAGCGCGGTGGGCTCAGGCAAGATCCGACTCGGGATCTGTATCCTCAGTGTTAATTGGCGCCACTTCTAACAACACTGTCCCCGCCCACGCTAGTTGAAAGTAAAGTCCGCGATCAGGTATAAAAGTTGAAAATATGGCGTTGACAGCGTAGTTTGGTCCGCGATGAACAATCTTGCACTCTTGCACCGGTTTAGCGGAAAAAAGTTCTGAAAGAGGAGCAATAGAATGCAATGCAAGTTCAGTGACGCCTCTTCTTTTTCCAGTGACTCCGATTCCAGATTCCGCCTCCAAGGTCCGGCTTTCAAGAAAAAAAAAGCTGAACACCGTCACTAGTACGGTCCACAATTCCTATCGGGGAACCAGCTGTGCGGATGAGGGCGTAGTGTTGGAGATGGAGTTAATTGGGCACGTACAAACTGGGATCGAAATGGGTTCTATCTAGGGCAGTTGGCATGTTTTTTTCTGCTTTTTTCGTACTTTCGAGTTACTCAGCACCTTGTCGTCTATATGCAACCCCTAATCCACTATCCGTGATGGCAAATGATCGCGGATTTTGCCTCTAAAGAGGAACAACCATGTTAAAACGGCTGAAAATGTCATTACTTGACTTCGTCCAAGTTTTTTTCGCTACTTTTCGCACATGTGGGGCGGAAACAAACGTACATTTGTATGTGTGTTCTTCTTTCACAAGTTCTGGAAGATGTGGAAGAACACCACTTGGATGCTCAGCAGCACCGATTACTATAATCACTTCTTTTTCCAGGAAGGCCTTTAATCGCTCGCATAGCATGAACCTATCCGATTCTCCGATTCTTCCATTCTGGAATTTCTTTATAGTGGTTGATTCCGTACTACCTATGATGAGAGATTACAGAAAATTGAAGTTATACTGATCGACTTTCCGAATGACGATGACTTTTTTGGATTTTCTAGAAAAGCGTACCTCGCTGCAGAAATTTGGCTAAAATATCGAGAGCGAGGGGGTGGTAGGAGTAAACTTGATGAGGGTTTGTCGGCCCCTTCAAAACAATACTAACACACATTCGCATACGTCTTTCCGGGAAGTTCACAAGAAAAGTAGTGGGTTCTTGTGTTCATGGGTGTGTATGGCAGCTTGTCTAGATCCTTTGGATTATTGAATGTGAGGCTTCAGTAGCGGTTGGGTCATGGACGACGAGTATCATGCTCTCCACCGCAACGCCGTCGAGCCAGGACAGTAAAGCCTCAGACAGCTATTAGGTTCAGCGTTTATAAGAAATAATTACTGGAAAACGTACAGATGCCAGAGGCAGCATATGTTCCTCCAAAAATGGAGCGTTGTTCGCAACCAGAACTTCGATGTCTTTGTCTGAAAGGACTAGAAGCTTAGAACGGAAAGAAATTTTTCGTTGAGAGTCGCATTTGCAGCCATGAAATTGCGCTGGCACGGAGGAAGCATTCCAGCCAAAGAATGCAACTGCGCCTTCAGTGCAAAAGCGCCCGCTGCCATTGCTCTTTCCCAAATCTAGTTTCTAGTTTCAGCTGTGCTCATTTTGCATGTAATTCAGTTACTCGTTTGCTTGATGATTTGCTTCAGCTTGGTCATTACAATCACATTACCTAGTTTTCCTCGGCGCTCGTCGTTTGAGAGAGTTCAGCGTAGCGTCCCGTCCACAACAATCTACCTAACTTTCGAATTTGAAGGACGAGCTGCTCAGTATTTGCCTACTGTCGTGGATAATATTGATGAACTCCCTTATCTGATAGTACCTTGCAGTCATTGAGGGCCAGCTCAAATTTCTTCAAATTGTTATAGGAGCTCCTTTCCTATTCAGCAGCTAGAGAAATTGTTGAAGAGATTGCTTTTATTTCTGTACTCTTTTATGTTTATGCATGCATTAACAGTATTTTCCTCTAGTCTGTCAGGGTAAACTATGTCCATGTATAGCATCGTGCGCAATAAGAGGAAGCGCCCCACCTCGAAGCGCCCCACCCCATCTTTTGTAAGCTTATTAGCACATGAACGTTAATTGCAGCGCCTCTGCATTCGATATTAAAATCTCTTGACAATAATTGCGAAAGGTGAGTAGAAAAAGAATACATGAAGGACTAACGGGCTCCAGCAGAAGCAGAGTATGACCAGATAACATCACGATCAGAACAGCGCCATATTAAAGGGTTCTTCTCGGCAATATCCTGAAACCACGAAGCATACCTTCTATCAATGACCTGGAACCATGAGCATCCTAATCTAGCATGTCTGTGACGGTGTAGTAAAATCCACAGGATATGTCAAACAACAAGGGACATTAGTTCCGAGAAGTGGTAGAGGGAGTGGAATGGGTTCACACTACTGGATGAAAGGGACTTAAACAATTGGTATAAGCTGAGAAAGGGCGTTGGAAAGCGAGTGTGATTCATATTTTGAGCTTGAGCTGCAGTAGAAGTGAAGCGTTGGTTTGAATAAGTGGTATAGCTGCGGGACGGAGAAATTGACGGTGGCTGGTTGACAGCACAAGGCATAATTAGATAAAAGCTTGGACGTCAAAGGGAAGTACCATCAGGCTTCTCCTATTTGCAGTTGATCCTTAGAGTTATCGTTCTTTACAACCGTCACTTGTTGAACCTAGGGGTTAGCGGACGATAAGAGAAGGTTCATTGGAAGATATGCAGCTTATTAGGGGAGAGCTGCGGCATGTGAGATTACAGGGCGAGAGATGTTCTCATACGGTCGATCTCCACACAAAGCAACTGCGAAACGAATCCTCGATATTAAGAGGGAGACTTTTTATCCTGCATTGTATCCTCAAATAGCACAGTGCTTGATTGTACTTGTAAAGAGGCCGAACCTCATGCCTTATAGCTGCATGGTTTTCATCAGGACCCATATAACCCGAAACATTGCTTCCGACTCCTGCCCATGTCCGAACTAATTCATTTCATCGACGAGTAATGTTTCAGGACCCAAACTCATGTCAAAACTCAACTGACGTCCTAATTTGCCTTGTTATCATCACAAACCTCCTTACTCGAAATCAATAATTAGAAGCGATCTAATGGTGCTTTAAACTGCTACCTTCACCCAGCCTGCTAGAATTTCTCTTGACTTCTTGTTGACTTTCCACGGTGGAAGCGGGAAACCAAACTTATTCGTAGCCTGCCTTTCTTGATAGTACGGAATGAGGAAGATGCATGCGATGCATAGCGCTACGAGAATAATCAGAAGAACCAATACCAGGATCAATATTCCTAACATTATCTGTGAGAACTCTGCAAAAAACTATATTCAGTTTAGACTTCCCTCTTGAATATTTTACTCATTACCAGTATGGAGACTTCAGAAGGTTACGAAATTCGTAAGGCATCGGATTATCCCAATGGTAACGGTGCTTTTGTTCGGAAGCATAACTATTCAGGAATAATGAGAGGTTTCTGTGGTTAATTTTACAATGCTTTGAAGAGATTTTCACTCTCTTTTTATAGTCATTTACTCATTTTTTACGCTAATGCATCAGTGAGTTTTTTTGCAATAATTTGGTCATTTTTCAAGGATGTATTATCAGTACTTTACTCTTCTTTTTAATCACTCATAAGTTATGCATTATCCGTTACGGGCAAACGTTTTTGACGATATTATTACATGATAGAAAAGCAGAGCAAATCGAATAAAACTCTCGGATAGAGTTAAATGCATGGCACACTATTCATATCACGCGACCCAGAACGTTAGCGATGAGAGTTTTGAATTCATAAATCGCGCTTGACGCCAAGAAGAGCTGGATGAGGAGCGATGTGAGAGCGTCATTATGACCAATGACTTTTTGAAGTATTCCTCTCAAAATTACATTCGAGTGATGCAGTGCGAACATTCCATGGTATTAGCTAATTCATTGTTGCTTAGCGTGAATCCTTGGCAGAAAGCTGTTTGAGAAATGCTCTTCAAACTGAACAGTCACTTGCGGCGATGCATGTCAGTCAGTGAATATTAATCGGTCCTCTTCTCGGACGGGCGGCATTCTATCGTCGGCAGTCAGCCTCAGTCGCCGCGCACATCGCGTCGCGGCGTCTCGCGCGGCGGCGCGGTGCGACAATTCCGGAGTTGCATTACCGACATACAAATGAGTCTCGAAGACCGCGTATTCACAAGTTCCGAAAAGCCCAAAATTGGATCAGTAATTTTGAACAAATAACGTGGGACCAGTCTTACACCCTTTACTTTTGAATGCGGAAAAAACAATCATTGATCATCATAGGAAAATGGGACAAGCAGTACAGGATTAACATAAACAATATGGCTTGATGATCATTTTAACAATTTCAACGAGCACGACGCAGCAGGACTCGTACGCGGCGCCCACCAGCGCGGCGACCTACTTATCATCGACGATAGAATCGCCACACACCCCAGGGAAGACCTTCTTAATGATACCTCTCCACCGTTACGGTGGGGCTCCTCGTGGTCATGACTGCCCTGTGCTTGAGTGCCAACACTACCTCCTCAGTATACACCATCACAGTAGCTGCTCTCGCGCCTTTAGCTAAATCGGAGTCGTCTTTATGATCGCTCCGACGTCCCCGATTTCGATCCTATCTTGTCGCGCCCAGCCGCAGGCCCATCTCAGCATCCTTATGCCATCTGAACGGAGCTGCCTTTCATCATGGTTCACACTATAGGGGTCTCTAGCGTACAGAATGGTTTCAGCCTCCCTCACCAAAAACTCCTTTGCCATGACATTCGGAGAAGAGGAACGGGCTTACTGATCCTTGTTGCACCCTAACGGCGATGTCTACTAAGCCGTGAGTGGTGCGCACAGCTGCTCAGCCCCATCGCACATGTCCTTCACTACGGAGACCAGCTGTTCCGGAAAAGTGTTCTCGGAGCGCTCTTCAGAGAACAGGCCGAGGTAGGCGTGTAACCAGCTTTTGAAGGTCCAGTACTTCTACACGACATGATCGCCACTGCTCTCGGTATCCCTCAATCTGTTGCTGAAGATTCAGTGGTCGACTTTTCGGGTATGGAGGTAACCGCTCCTGCGAGATACGGATAAATCCATTAGCTCTTTGTTGACTAACGCTCGTGTAGTATGCCCCAGTATGCGGAGTCAGCTTGATGCCACGGTAGTTGGTGCACTTCGTCGAGTCTCCTCTCTGCTTAAGAATAGGGGCAATTGTGTTGCTGCTCCACGCATCCTCCCGCCATCCTTCCTTTCGTTTGTTGTTGAGGGAGTGGGTGAGCCAACGGATCCCACGCTGTTCAAAGCTTTCCATCCCTCTAACCCATTATTCCATTTCAACTCAGCGCCTTACCGAGCTTCATTCTTCTAATTCTCGGCGGACTTCACCTTCTGCTCAGGGGGTTCAAGAAAGGATCTGTCGTTTCTATCTCAGAGCCTGTACTTGTAGGGAAACCGGAGACCCTTGAAGTTGTCGTCCTATCTCTATCTTCGGCTGGTTCCGTAAGGATTGCACCGTTGGTTTCCACAGTTTTTACAATACTGATGTCTTGAGTAGCGCGATACCGCGCTTCAAACAGGCAAAAGCACACATGTTCTTCTCTAGACCTTCTCGACATGCAAGCCATCCATTTAAGTGTTCATCGCCTCGGCGACAACTGCCATGTCCCGTGTCTCCCATGACTTCCTTTGTGCTGACATCTTCGGTGGCGTCTGCGACCATCCACTCTACTACATTCTCTCCACGTCTGGGGCTAGAACCTCTCTCAGCGTGGGTCCTTAAGTACTGCCATGAGGCGGACCCATGATATGATGGTCCGCACTCAGTCTGCTATATTCCCTAGAATACACAGCTGCTTGCTACCTCCAGTCAACGTCCCAAGCAAGACGTCCATTTGCTCACATATCATCCTATCGTCGCAATC